CCCACTACTGTCTTCTCATCCATGGACACAGCCAGGCTCAAGGCACAACATCATCTGGCCTCTAGACAGGAGGGCACATCTGGAGTAGCTTACATCTTCCCTGGAGATTGTAGAAGAATAAGAGACTTGATAGTGTCTCCCCTCAACTGTAGGGCAGCAGGAAGCAGAACTCTTGGGCGTGTCCAACATGGCCTTGGTGCAGTCCCCACACCCTCTTCACTCACTGCACAGGAGGCTGCAAAAATTTATCACAGGGCATTTCTTCCTAACACACGTGTTGTCAAATCAAACCACACCTTTATGATGTTATTGGCTGATAAATGCCCCCTACTTTCCAATCAGGTCTAGCAGGGATCGTGAGGCTGGCACAGGCCTGGGCAGTGTTTCATTCTGTTGGACATAAGTTTGCTGTGAGTCTGACAAATTAATGGCACCTAGCAACAGCCACCCTTCCCAACTTTACTCATTTCCGTTATTGCTGGTGTTGGGCGCTGCCAAGTTGGCTCCTACTCAGCACCCCTGTGACAACAGAACCAAGCCCCGTCTGGTCCCACACCACCCACATCATCACTGCTGTGCTTGAGGCCATGGCTGTGGCCACTGTGTGAGTCCATCCCTTTGGGGGCCTTCCCCTTTTCTGAGGACCCTCTACTGCACCCAGCATGATCTCCTGCTCTAGGGACTGGGGCCTTCTGACAACACGACCAGAGCACGTCAGGTGAAGGGCGGCCACTCTTTCACCTAAGGAGCATTGTGGCTACCCTGGCTTCTGGCAGCCCATGGGATTTTCAGTATTCTTTGCCTATATCGTAATTCAAATGTATAAATCTTCTCTAGTTTTCCTTACTCACTGTCCACACACATATGAAGCTATTGAACAGACCTTGGCTTGGCTCAGATGCACCTTCTATTCAAAGTGACATCTCTGCTCTTCCACACTTTAAAGAGGTCTTTTGCAGCAGATTGGCCCCTTCAGCATGTCCTCTGATTTCCTGACTGCTGCCTCCACGGGCACTGACTGTGGATCCAAGTGAAATGAAATCCCTGACAATGTCAAACTTCCCTCCATTTATCACAATATTGGTCCATGAGGATTTTTGTTTTCATATGTTTTAAGAGTGGTAAATACATAGTCAGAGTGTAAAGTATACATGTTACAGAAGGTTCTCAGTGAAAAGTCAAATTTCTTCCCACATCCCATTTCAGGTCATTTGTTTCTATCAACAGAGAAGAGGGGCAGGCTGGGTGCCCTGGCAGGGAGGGTAGTTGCTTTGATTCTGTTCTGGGCTCCTGCTCAGCTGCATCCCAGGGGGGATCTCCATCAGTGAGGCCAGCTTCCCAGGACTGTCCTGTGAGCTGACATGTGATGAAACAAGACAGGGACACTATAACCTCGACATGGCCCATCATGACCCTTTGGGGTCAGCAAAGTGGACAATGAGCAATTCTGTCCTCTCCATATGGTGCGCCCAGGCCTCGGGCAGCAGAGGGCACTGCAGCCTGTCCCTGAGTGTGTGTTGTGATCCCAGCGGGGAACCACCCACCTGCCTCTAGTCTGGTGCCCTTTCTCTGGGGGTCACTGGGGTTCACAGTGGTGATGTCAGAGGGCCCTGGAACCACAGCCCAGGCCCCCAGCTGCAGCTCCACTTCCTCCCAAAATAAGTTTTCTAGGGGGGGGTATGATGCAGAGCCCAGGGTGGGGCTTGGACATCTCAGGGGAGGTGGTGGTTTTGCATGAAGGGCCCTCCCTCACCTCAGCTACTGGAGGGAATAAGAAGGCCTTGGGGAGCCCAGGCCCTGCTGAGGGTCTCAGGACACAGAGCCGTGTGGGGGTCTCCACCATGGCCTGGGCTCCTCTCCTTCTCCCTCTCCTCATTCACTGCACAGGTGGCTGAGGGCTGGGCATCAGAGCTGGGGATGAAAGGACCAGGGAACCCTGGGTGTGTCCCTGTCCTCTGACCCCTCTCTCACTGCTGTGATTCTTCTGACTTTCAGGGTCCTGGGCCCAGTCTGTGCTGACTCAGCCATCTGCAACGTCTGAGTCTGTGGGGAATACGGTCACCCTCTCCTGCACTGGAGGCAGCAGTAATGTTGGCCGTGGAGATGTATCCTGGTACCAGCAGCTTCTTGAGAGTCCCCCAAAACTCCTCATTTATGGTAGCAGTGCTAGGCCCTCAGGTGTCCCAGCCCGATTCTCAGGCTCCAGGTCAGGGAACATGGCCACCCTGAGCATCTCTGGACTCCAGCCAGAAGATGAGGCTGACTATTACTGCTCAGTCTGGGACAGCAGCATCAATGCTCACACAGTGCTCCAGGCCAGTGGGGAAGTGAGACACAAACATGCTGCACCCAATGTGGGGCTCCCTGTGCAGCCCTGTCCTTGGCCCAGACACCTGCTCTCACGTCTTTGCCCAAAAGCTGACATCTCAGACCCACGGCAAGGAATGTCCTTCTGCTCTCAGATTCTTCCCCCGAAGCCATCCTTAGCAGCAACACATTGACAGATGTATCAGTCTCGATAAGGTTCCTCAAAGATAGGATGGGGCATGCTTTGCTGGGGAGAAAGTCCATGGTGTGGTCAGAGCAGAACAGGGAACACAGAGCCCAGCAGTGTCTGATTCAGGAAAGGCCACCAATTCCCAGTTCCATCCATCCACACCATTTACTGAATCCCTACTATGTGCTTGACTTGGGACAGACTATGGACCATACTGGGAGGGTCTGTATTCTCACAAAGCTGACACTGGGATGAAAGAAGAGAGAGAAAACAAGTAAACATATCAGTACCAATGAGAACAGAAATACCGTGTCATGATGGGTGGAAAAGTGTGTGTTTTCTTCCAAACATTTCTATTCATACATTTACATCTATCTATTCCCTTCATTAAAATTCCTCTGGGCTCCTGCTGAAGGTGGACAGTGAAGCCCAGGGGCTGCCCCATGAAAAATGTGCAAAATCCACAGGCCAAGTTCTAAATATAATCCATCCCTATCAGAGCTCACACACATGCACATGTGCGCACACACACACACACACACACACCAGTCCTCGTTGACAACCCAAAACAACTGTGGAGATATACCCTATAGTATATTCCAGTAGGAATAACCAGGATTAAGCAAGGGAAGAACTGCTCAAAATTCAAATTACCCTCAAGGAATCCAGCTCCAAAAGGCAGGAATGGTCATCTCTTCCAAGACTTCTCTTGACAAGCAACCCCACTCAGATCCTGCTCTTTCTCCATCCGAATCTTCCATCCAGTCGTCCCTAAAGTATAATCTGTCCTTTCACTTGCAACTGTGTCACAAACTCATCACACATCATCCTTCAAAATTATGGCTTCTGCCTGCCTTCCTTCCAGCCCCAGGAACCTCAGAATTCACTCAACCATTCTATGTTTATGGGAATCACATCTTTCAGTGCTTATACTCTCTTTGATGAGGTTTATTTATCTATATCCATCTCGATCTATCTAGCTACATACATGATAGTAATTTCAGGAAGTTCTGTGTGTTTTTATATAGGAAACGTCTCTAGGTGCTCAACTGACTTGTCAGTGTACACACACAATTATTCCAAAGATCTCTGGGGTCCCTGAAACTATAGTCCCTAGCCACCCTTCAGGTCAGGAATTGAACTCACTACTGTGGCTTCCAGCCAAACAACAGACAGACATACGGAGTGAATATTTACATCAGGTAGATACACTCCTTGGAGCCATCATTCATGGGAGAACCGAAGGGCAGTGTGTGCACAGAGAGACAGCTCTGGGAGGTGGTAGTGCATGGGAGGGAAGGACACCGGAAGAAATAACTACGGGGAGGATGTGGGAAGAGAGCTGTTCCACTGTGGGGAACCGCAGTCAATGTCATGAGACAACATGTCTATGAAGTGCTGTATAGAAAGTGAATTTGCCCTGTAATCTTTCACATAAGTCTAATTAGTCTACGAAAAGTTTACTATACATATTGTTATTCCTAGAAGAACAATGAACAATTACACATACCCTTAACAGAAGCTGGATATCCCCAATGATCCTCTATTTGGGAGATATGAATAAAGCAGCTAAAATACCCACATTGGGGTGTGTGTAGACCTGTTCCCATTTCTCTGGGTTAAATTCCTGGGAGTGGGACTGCTGGGTCCTAGGGTCAGTCTGTGTCTCTCAGGCTGCCCTGTCCACAACCACAACCCACCCCAGCAGGATCTGAGGGGGGACCCCCACTTCTGCTCTTAGCAGCCTCCTTCCAGAATTCCCAGGGGAAAGGGCAGGTGGACACATGGGTGCTGACCTCAAAGAGCCACCTCCTGCAGAAGCCGTGGGGCCCGGAGCCTGGCTCCGCAGCTGTCCCCGATGGTTCATCTCCCATCACCCTGTGCTACAGTCACCTGCCGGGACCTGGGCCAGGTTAAAGGGCCACTGCTTCTGTCCGGAGGCCCACCTCCCTTCTGCCTCCACCCTAGACCTTCAGCAAGAGCCAGAAGGCCCACAGGGGCTGGAAGGCAGCCTTTGCTCCTGCCATTAACTCCCGCTTCCTTCAGGCTTCAGTCCCCAAGTGTGTGCCCTCACCTCCCGCCGCCCAGTGTCCACATCCTCACCTCCCGCTGCCCAGTGTCCGCGCCCGACCCTCGCGCTGCCCAGTGTCCGCGCCCCACCTTCCTATTCTCCTTTGCACGCGCCTCAAACACGCGCTGAGCTGTGCACGCGCCCGAACCTCATTCTTCCTGTGCACGCGCGCTTGTTCTGGGCACGTGCCCACTCCTAGGAGACAGATTCAAAAGCTGCGTTCCAGGGACAGGCTCAACACTGCGGGCTTCGCCTGTGGCCGCGTTGGCGACTAAAGGAGAAGCGGAACTTTTTTCTCTCTAATCGCAGTAGTTGAACTACACGCTTTGGGAAAGTGCTCTCATGGGCAGTTTCCTGGGCAAGCTTTGCCCCTCCCTGAAACCCCAAAGACAGGGGAGCAGGGAACCCCTAGAGGCACCTGGCTACCCCCAGCAGGCTCACCGCTCCCACCTTCTTCCATTGGCTGGTCGTGTTCACCCAGCTGCGCTCGGCCCGCGATGGACGGGCCGGCCATGCCACCAGTATCAAGGGCTCCGGGGCTTTGTCTCGGCAGCTCCGCGGTATTCCCTGATAGTGCTGAAGACCCTGTACTCCCTTCTGGGGATCTTTACCTCATTGTGCTGTCATCACATTCAGAGGAGTCCACTGTTATCAGCTGTCACCTCTAAGATCAAGCCAGCGAACAGCCTGGTGGCCCGTGTGTGGCTGAAGATACCCAGGTGGGCCCAAGGTGCTCATTCAAACAAGAGGGAGTTGCAGCCCATGGCAGAGAGTGGGAAGGGGACGAAGGAGGAGGGCCCTGCGGTGGGGGAAAGGCAACACGGTCAGAATGAGCCCCCCGACGGCCCTGGGAGCGCACAGAGCGGATTCAGGCCCCTCAGGGTCATTGCAGGCCTCTCTCCCTTGGTGCCCAGGCCTGGGCCTCTGAAGAGACATCTCCCCTCCACCTCCGAAGAAAATGCCATCAAGACCTTGAGAACCCCCTTTGTGAGCTCGTGCTGGAAAAGAAACCCGATCACCAGTTCCTACAGCTCCACCCGAGGGTTCCCAGAGGTGCAGAAGAGGAGGGGTGCACACGCATCTCAGTCACAGAGGCCCCAGGAGTCCGCACCCCAACGGAGCACTGAGGACCATCGCTCTAGCTCTTTGGGTCCAGACACAAAGGAGGAGAAGATCCACTGTGAAAACATCCCCAGTGTAGCTCCACAGCGGGAGGGAAACTCACGGAAAAGGTCGCCCCCATCTGCCAGTTGTAGGCCCCGGAAGCGTCTGTTTCCTCTGCTGAGACCCAAGAAAGGGGACCCGCTGGTGCTGCCTCCAGGCCCCGAGCCAGGTTACCCAGTCACCGCTGAAGACCTGGATCGGGAGAAGAGAGCAGCGTTCAGGTTCATCAACCTCCT